CCGGATCGGCCCATTCACGGCACTTCGAGTTTGTAAGGTTGGTCTCATGGCCGATATTAATGACGTCAATCGAAGGGACGTGTGATAAATGCGATCTGACGGTTACTTTCCTGTCGGTCACGAAAAGTCGTGCAGCTTTTACGTGGCCTACGTGGCAGACACGTGTCGTTGCCTCGTTACACCCCCGAAGAGTCGTGTACGCGTCGGTTGGCGGCGGTTTCGCCTTTTCGAATTTTTGAATTTTGAATTTTCCACACGTGGCGGAATCTGATTGGGATCGAACCCTTATATATAGACTCCTTATTCACTGTTCTTCTCTTTCTTACCTTCACAGAGTTTAAACTTCTTGAGGAAGAGACATACAAGCGGCTTTCAATTTGGATCTTTCGCTTCTGTACGGTAATTTCTTCGATTCTTCGACCTTTCTCTTACTTTTTCTTCTCGACCATGTCTTCGCCGCCTCAACCCGGATCTGGGACCGGCGCACCCGGGGAAGGTTCCGGTTCTTCCGGCGACTCATTTCCGCCCGTGACGGACAGGCCCACGTCCTATTCTCCGATGACGGCCGAGAGGGCTATGGCCGAGGCGGTGCCGATCTCTATGGTCCGCCCAAGTTCTCCTTCAGCCGATCCGGGCCTAAGCGAGAATTCCGGCGTCGGGCCGGATTTGAATCGGGCCGTGGGGGCAGGTGACGAGGCCGACGTGAACATCGACTTCCTTAGGTCCGACTCAGATGTCGACCAAGATCTAGTCGACGAGACCCTCCGCGGCGATACGGGGGGCCGAGAAAGGATGCCGATGGGTCGAGGCGACGATACCACCGACGCCGAGATCGAGGCAGTTACCTCTGTCCCTCCGGGTTTTTGGCGCCGTCCCCCCCGGGTTTGGGGGACCCACAGTGATTCCATGGCCTGGTTCATGGCCTCGGCGATAGACGACGCCGATTTAGTCGAATTGCGAAGCAAGTTTAATTTTGGCCCGGGAGTTCACCTATTTGCGCCCTACCCCGGGGAGCGGATCCACTGCCCGCCGCCGGGATGTATTGGGGTCTATCGAGACAGTATTCGCCTCGGGCTTAGGTTTCCCCTGGCGGGGGCACTCAGCGACATACTTTGCGAGTACGAGGCCGGTATCAGCCAATTCACCCCGGCGGTATTTGCTCGGCTCCTTGCTCTAATAGTGATGTTTCGGCGGGAGGGGTGGCCCGATCCTACTGGGGCCGAAGTGAA